TTTTTTTTGTGGTTCAAATTCTTTATTGGTGTACGCCGTTCGGGTGCTGCGGGATTTTCCCTGTGCTTTGCGTTTTAAATGGGCTGAATCTTTGTAATGTTGCCATACATGGAGATACTGTATACTTGGCTGCCAAGTCCCTGACTTTCAAACCAAGAAGATTTTTTTTCCCTGTTCGGATATTGCATTATGCTCGAGTTTACAATGGAACAAAGGAGACGCGTACCAAGAAGGCTGGGCCAGTATTTGGCTGAATGCATCGTTACTGTGCTTGTATTGAGTGGAGTCTCAGCCCAGTTAAAATATTCGATCTCAGAGGAAGCAAATGAAGGAACTGTGGTTGGAAATATCGCAAAGGATCTGGAGTTGGATAAAAGCACACTCAAAGACAGAAAGTATCGGATTGTTTCAAATGACGCGGAACCTCTTTTTCGTGTAAATCAAGACGATGGAGTCCTTTATGTCAGCCAAAAGATCGACAGAGAGAAGGTGTGCTCGCAAAGTAGTACGTGTTTATTAAACGTGAAAACGGTGCTGGAAAACCCGCTGGAGGTGCACTACGTCGTGGTAGAGGTGCTGGATGTAAATGACCACTCTCCGATCTTCCAAGAGAATGAACTCACGCTGGAAATTTCTGAATCCGTGTTTTCCGGAGCACGGTTTCAGCTGAGAGCTGCAAAAGATCCAGATAGTGGCCGTTTCTCTGTGCAGCAGTATAAGCTTAACCAAAATGATCACTTTCGATTGGAAGTTAAAGATAAAGGCGATGATGGGAAAATACCCGTTTTAATTGTACAAAAACCTTTAGACAGAGAAACAGCAAAAAAACACTCCCTAGTACTCACAGCTATGGATGGAGATAAACCCCCCAGAACAGGTAGTATTATTATCCAGATACACATTTTAGATGTAAACGACAATGTTCCAGTTTTCTCCAGCGATGCTTATTCTGTGACGCTAAGAGAAAATTCCCCATTGGGAACAACAGTCGTACAGGTCAACGCAACAGATTTAGATGACGGAACAAACGGAGAGGTGATTTATTCACTCGGCAAAAGCACGAATCAGCTCGCTTTAAATATTTTCGACATTAACCCGATAACTGGAGATATAACTGTCAAAGGTTTAATAGACTACGAAGAGAGAGATAAATATGAAATTGAAATTGAGGCATCTGATAAAGGAATTGCTCCTCTGACTACTGAAAAAAGTGTTAATATAAAAATTATTGATCTGAATGATAACGCTCCTGAGATTGAGGTTACTTCATTTTCCAGCTCAATTCCTGAAGACTCCCGACCTGGAACTACAGTCGCTCTCATCAGTGTAAATGATTTGGACTCTGGTGTTAATGGGAAAGTGATATGCTCAATGAGTGAGGACATTCCATTTACTTTAGCACCAACTATTCAAGACATCATATTCGCGTTAGTTACCAAATACCCTCTGGACAGAGAGAAGCAATCGCATTATGACTTGACGATATTTGCAAAAGATGCAGGACAACCTCCACTGTCATCTGAGAAAACAATCAGCGTCGTGGTGTCAGATGTGAATGATAACCGTCCAGAGTTTGTTTTGAGTCCATATACGTTTTATATTAGTGAGGCTAATGAACCTGGGACGTCAATATTTTCCGTTAAAGCATTTGACCGTGATGAAAATGATAACGCACTAATTTCATACCAAGTTGTTAGAGGTGGAAAAGAGAATGACAAAATGACCTCATTTCTCAACATTAACTCTGAAACAGGCGATATTGTAGCACTGAAAAGTTTCGACTTTGAA